ATTGATTGATTGATTTATTCATTCTATTCAGAGCGCAGTAAAAGACCAGACTTTACTTACATTCTAGTACTTCTGACCAAATAAATAACTTAAATGTGTAATGAAACAATCTTCTTGTCACTAATAAATCTGCAATCATAAACATACATATACAGTCATACACAACAACTTGGTACAACTGCGCCAAACCGCAAAAACATAGTGAGTGTTTCATTGTGATTGGATAATAACTTGTGAAAACATTTGTTTGATTGTCTTTCATTGGGCTGYGTGAGTGTACAATAGTCTCTTTCATGGTTACCTGCGCCATCTTGAAAGGTAGATGTAAAGGCATGGCTACCTTTCAAGATGGCGCAGGTAACCATGAACTATTTAGTAGCAGTCCTGTATAGCATATGGGTTGTTTCAATGGATGTGTCACACCCAACAACTTTACACTCTTGAGCGCAGTTGGAAGCAATAAATTAAGAATTTATTAAAATTATTGGTATTTACTTACAAGCTACATGTAATGATAGCAAAACAAGGATGGCAAACATTATGAGGAAAAAGATGTCTGTCTTGATAATTTCTGCAAATGAAACAATTAACATTGCTTTATTTTAATAATTTTTCACCTTTTATATTTCAGGATAACTAAACAGGAAATGGTAAAAGATATAAGTGGTCATAAATAATCAATAATAGGTAAGTTTTGATAGCATTCATTGTTATTACCCAACAAATAAACACTTATAAAATGCATATTTTTGCACTGAAAAATGTTATCATTCTCCAATTTTGTTGAGAGCTTGGGCCAGCCAGGTGTTCCAAGCCGCTCTGAGAAGGTTTGGGCTGGAGGTGGCCCAAACTCTCTCGGAGTGGCTAGGAATGCCTGGCTACGCAGGCTACCAATTTTGTGGCTATATGTTCTTACATGTTGGCATGACATCCAAGTAAAAAGTTGAAATAAAGATCTTAGGTCATTCTGGCTCATACAAACACTAAGTTGTTTTTTTTCTTTAAAAACAATGCCTAAGGGCAATAGCTTGATAAGCCTAGTTAGAATCAGTTAAATAATTTGATTGTTTTATGCATTGATAATTTGACTTAGCCTTACCTCTTTCATCTGCCGAAAAGTGCATATTCCAGAATGTTTCTCCATTTGTTAGATTGAAAAAATACTTGATTTTCAAACCCTTTAGACAATCATATAAAAAGTACTTAAAACCATTTCTAGATATAGAATTTGTAGGTAATATTTAATTATTTTATTGATAATTTCTAAACATATGTAATAATTTTGTAGGTAATAATTCCATTTCCAACCTTTATCATTATGGTGCAAATATGTGTTTACCTTGGTGGATTTACAGTTACTAATAGCAATATACCACCAGCGAGCTCTCAATGACAAAAATCTCCTATCGCCTGGAAAAGAACAGAGAAAAGAGAGTCAAGACATTCTKTACAGTAAAGGTACAAAATAAATAATTTTAATCTACATTTATTTTTAGAATAGGGCATTATGCTGTGATAAATGCCAGCAGCAACTAGATATTCAAAAAACAAAAAAACATTTTGAGGATCATCCAGTTTACAATGGCAGCTATCATTATAGCATAATGCAGTGGACTCTATTTAAACAATAGTCGGAGTAGTTGAATTGAGGGCAGTACAGAATAGTCACTCGAGAATTCAGTACAAGTGCGACTATGAGGTTTTTGAGAAATGTCCAGTTTCCAAGGTCAATTAACACAGCAAAAAAATTCTGAACAAGCAGGCTCTCCACCTCGTTCCCAGGGGGCCTTATCCCTTTGCTTGAGGTCAGGCAGGAAGAGGCCCTGGCATCGGCTGGCCAAACACCCTAAAATTCTKGGTGTAATAAATTATCATAACATTACACATCCATCGTCACTATTTATTTTGAGTTCATTGTAAGTCCTTGTAACGGTTGGATTTTCATTCAACTACAAGTATTTTGCAAAAGAATTATTCGAAGTACATTTTCAATGATAAGCTAGGAAACGAAATACAATAGAACTGTTTTAACTTCAAAATCCATTCAAAACATCGGAAGTGTCGTTGTATT